CACCACCTTAGGTGTATGTGGCTGGCGCCTTAGCCGCTTAAGCTACAGGTGCTGAGCTGACTTCCGGTTTTGTGATACACACAATTCTCAGACAAACAGAATCAAAGTTTTAAAATGCTAGTTTTGTCCCAGCCAGAAAGCTGAATCAATCCACCTTGGTGCAGACCCTTTGTCCCCAGAAAGAGAATCCACAGCTTACAGGGCACCAGGCCACAGCTGGGGATGGGGCTACGCTGGGCTCCCAGTCTGGTCTGATGGCCATCTTGATCAGTCCCTTCCTCTAAATTAGATGACGAAAGAGTGATTTTCTCTTTCATTCTCGTTCTTCCCAGATCATTCTCTTTCTTTCTTTTCTTTTTTTTTGAGATAGAGTCTCACTATGTCGCCCTCAGTAGAGTGCTGTGACCTCACAGCTCACAGCACCCTCCATCTCTTGGGCTTAAGTGATTCTTTTGCCCCAGCCTCCCAAGCAGCTGGGACTACAGGCGACCACCACAACGCCTGGCTACTTTTTTGTTGCAATTGATTAGCTGGCCTGGGCCGGGCTCCAACCCTCCAGCCTTGGTGTATGTGGCTGGCACCGTAACCACTGTGCTACAGGCACCAAGCCCAGATCATTCTCTTTACCACTAACACACCCAACCCAAGTCTGATAGATCCAAAATACACCAGACCCTCTGTAAGCTGATAACCCTAACAAAATGGTCCATAGGAGGTGGTCAACGTAAAGAATGAGGCCTAGTGTATTGAAACATATATGTGGTACATGTCTGGTCTATGAAAATCAGGTCAACTTGAGGAGGTGGTCAGTGCAGGAGGTGGTCAGCTATGGAATTGTCTGCTGACCGAGTTTTCACTATACAAGAAAAATAAAGAAGGACAGGAAAAAGAGAGACAAGGAAAGAAGAGAAGATAGGAAAAAGAAATGAAATAGATAAAAGAAAGAGGATGAATGGGAGTGCAGGGGGCCCACACAGCCAGGCTGGCCCAGCACTTGTGAGGCCCACACAGCCAGGCTGGCCTAGCACTTGTGAGGCCCACACAGCCAGGCTGGCCCAGCACTTGTGAGGCCCACACAGCCAGGCTGGCCCACAGCACCTGTCCACCCCCACACAGCCAGGCTGGCCCCACAGCACCTGTCCAGCCCACACAGCCAAAAGCTGGTCCACAGCACCTGTCCGGTCCCCACACAGCCAAGCTGGCCCAACACCTGTCCAGCCCCCACACAGCCAGGCTGGCCCACAGCACCTGTCCGGTCCCCACACAGCCAGGCTGGCCCACAGCATCTGTCCGGCCCCCACACAGCCAAGCTGGCCCCACAGCATCTGTCCACCCCCACACAGCCAGGCTGGACCACAGCACCTGTCCATCCCCCACACAGCCAGGCTGGCCCCACAGCACCTGTCCGGTCCCCACACAGCCAGGCTGGCCCCACAGCACCTGTCCGGCCCCCACACAGCCAGGCTGGCCCCACAGCACCTATCCACCTCCACACAGCCAGGTTGACCCAGCACCTGTCCAGTCCCTTGACTGGTTTGTGATGACACTCGACTTAGTGATGTGTTTCTAACCTTCTGTAATGGTCAGATTTGAGTTTGTCTCTGAGTCCACTGCACTTAGCACATCATAGACATTCAATAAATGGCGACAGCATGGCAAGACAAACGGCCAGTTTCTAGAATAAATTCAAGCCAATTCCAACCGGTATACTTCATCAAAGTAACCTCTAAACAGATTCTTAGCTTTAACTGCACATTAGAATCCCCTGGAGCTTTTAAAAATCCTGCTGCTTGGGTCACACCCCTAGGCAATCAAATCCTGTCTCTGTCACATATGGAGTTGTGTTGCAGCCCCCGCCCACACACACCTGCTGATCCCAAGCAGCCAAGGCTGAGGAGGCTGCTCTAGATGCCTCACTAGCAGGTCTGGCAAACCTGAGTGATGACATTCCATCTGATTCTACGTTTTTTCGCTAGACCAGTGATTCTCACACACTTGGCTACAGATTATAACCACCTAGGGGGAGTTTAAATCTGCTGGTGCCCATGTCCCACACAGAGGATCTGGTTGGGTGGATGGGAGGTCTCAGCACCGGAAATTTTGTAGTGTTTGAGAACCGCTAGGACAGACCTTATTCACATTGATGCCTTGGCAGAGTTCTGAAACGTGTGCTAATGATTTAGGTGTAGAGGTAAGGGGCTGCTTACTCACGTAGAAGGAACCAGAAGCCCTTCAGGACCTATCTGTGATGCCTGATAATGTGCAGCATAATGAAGGTTTTATTTATTCATTTTTGAGACAGAGTCTCACCCTGTCGCCCTTGGTAGAGTGTCACAGCACCATAGTTCACAACAACCTAAAATTCTCGGGCTCAAGAGATCCTACTTCCTGAGCCTCCTGAGTAGCTGGGACTGCAGGTGCCCACCACAAAACCCAACTAGTTTTTCTGTGTTTAGTAGAAATGGAGTCTTGCTCTTGCTTAGGCTGGTCTTGAACTCCTGAGCTCAAGCAATCCACCCACCTCAGCCTCCCGGAGTGCTGGAATTATAGGCATGAGTCATTGCGCCCAGCCATGGTGAAGGTTTTCAAAACAAGGAAAGGGACGTTGTCTTGAATGTCCACTGCTATGTATGTGTGCCCCTCCTTTTTAAATTATTTTTTATTAAATCATAACTATGTACATTGATGCATTTATAGGATTGAGGGTACTGCTTCGATATACAATGTGAAATGCTTACATTGAACTAAGTGACACATCCATCACAATTATACTCATTTCTTAATAGTTTTGAAATGTACCATTGCATCATGCACATTAGGTGAGGTTCCCCCCAAATACCCTCCCTCCTCCCTCAACCCTCCTCCCCTCCCCTCTCTCTCCTCTTCCCTTCTACTTTCTGGACTATAGTTATGTTTTGCCATTTGTATGAGTGTATAGGTAATTATATTTTGATTTCATAATAGTATTGAGTACATTGGATACTATTTTTCCATTCTTGAGATACTTTACTAAGAAGTAAGATTGTTCCAGCTCTATCCAGGTAAACATAAAAGATGTGAAGTCTCTGTCTTTTTTATGGCTGCATAGTATTCTATGGTGTACATATACCACAATTTGTTAATCTATTCATGGGTTGATGGGCACTTGGGCTGTTTCCATGTCTTGACTATTATGAACTGGGCTGCAATAAACATTCTGGTACAAATATCTTTGTTGTAAAATAATTTTTGATCATCTGGGTATATGCCAGGTAGAGAGATTGCAGGATCGAATGGTAGGTCTACTTTTAGTTCCTTGAGTGCTCTCCAAACTTCTTTCCAAAAAGGTCGTATTAGCTTGCATTCCCACCAGCAGTGTAGAAGTGTTCCCTTCTCTCCACATCCACGCCAACATCTATAGTTTTGAGATTTTGTGATGTGGGCTAATCCTACTGGAGTTAGATGCTATCTCAGTGGTTTTGATTTGCATTTCTCTAATGTTTAAGGATAATGAGCATTTTTCATGTGTTTGTAGGCCACGTGCCTATCTTCATCAGAGAAGTTTCTGTTCAAGTCTCTTGCCAACATAGAAATTGAGTTATTTATTCTTTTCTTATTGATTAATTTGAGTTCTCTGTAGATTCTAGTTATAAGACCTTTGTCAGAAGCATAACCTGAAAAAACCTTCTCCCATTCTGAAGGTTGTCTGTTTGTTTTACTTACTGTGCTCTTGGCTGTGCAAAAGCTTTTTAGTTTGATCAGATCCCAGTAATGGATTTTTGGTGTTGCTTCAATTGCCCGCAGGGTCCTCCTCATAAAATCTTCTCCCAGGCCAATTTCTCCAAGTGTTTTCCCTGCACACTCTCCTAGCATTTTTATGTCTTAAGTTTAAATCTTTTATCCAGTGAGAATCAATTTTTGTTAATGGTGAAAGGTGTGGGTCCAGTTTCAGTCTTCTACGGGTTGCTAGCCAGTTCACCCAGCACCATTTGTTAAATAGGGAGTCTTTGCCCCACTGAATATTTTTGATAGGCTTGTTGAAAATCAAATGATGATAAGTTGCTGGGTTCATCTCTTGGTTCTCTATTCTGTTCCATAAATCTACCACTCTGTTTTTGTGCCAGTACCATGCTGTTTTGATCACTATAGATTTATAGTATAGCCTGAAGTCTGGTAACATGATACCTCCTGATTTGTTCTTATTTCT